TCATGTCTCTGACGTTTTCCATGGGAAGAGCTGTCTGATATGCTCGCGCTGAAGTTCCAGTTTGCTTTGGAAAATATGGAAAAAGAGGGAAGTCGTCATCTCTTGCTGTCAGTCTCCTTCCGTTATCTTCAGAGAGTTTTCGAAATAAAAGGGAAGGCTGATTATTATTAATTTTTTGAAGTTAAATGCTACTGGACCGAGTAGTGCGGGTGCTATTAGAGGATTCCCGTTATGCTATAATGAATACACATCAGTATGGGTTTTCCGGACAAAGATGCTTGGCTCTTATGTTTTCGACGTTTTGTGACTGGATCCGGGCTGAGTCCCTCAGATGTGTGTACGCAGAATTCGTGAGTTATAAACTTTATATTTTCATTGGTGCTTTTATTTTGCTAATTAATCTTTATAAATTTAAGGTATCCGACCTCGTTCGAGTACCATTTTTTTAAAAAATGGTTTTTATTTTAACTATAACATATTAATTTGAATAAGCATATTTGAGTGAAACAATTTAACGTAATGCTAGTAATTAATTGGAAAAATGACAAAAAAAAGATAATTTTTGCTTAAATTTGCCTTTACGCACCCACGGAACAATGTATATAATATGCAGTTTTTTTTAATGTATATGTTACACTTGTTTTATCATGAGCAAATAATTAAGAAAGAATTCTTGAGATAGTTCAAAAGGTAGTTTTACTGTATATTTTCCTATAGCATCCAAAATCTAAAAATAAAAAGTAAACAATTAAACTTCTAATTATATTTCTAAATCGTTTGCTTAAGAGCATGCAGCGATTATATGAACCATATATAGAAAGTATCATTAATTGTATCCATAAAATTTTGAGTTATGGCTGTTACCATTTGGCAATATTTAGAAAAACATTTTTCAGAAAACAAGTTTAAAATTTCATAAACAATTTCTTAGTGAAAGAGCTCCCTGATAATTAAATTCCCTGTTTTGTAACTTACACCTTGTTTTCTTCCCACACTTTGCACCTTTTCTTCGAACAAGCGTATTTTTTCTTTGGGTTTTTGTTAAACGTGGAATGCCACCAAAGTCATGATTTTGCACTGTATCAAGTTTCGAATTCCCTGCACAGTGTAAAATTCAGGGCACATACCTAACCTTGAAAAGCTTCAAGAAAACCTATAAATCCACATTAATAACACAACTTACCTTTGCTCCAAACATTAATATTCGCAAGTTTATAATGTTTCTTCGAAACAATTTGCAACAAAATGCCATTAACGTTCCTTGATTTTGAGTTTTGATAACTCTGTTTATGTAGTCACTCCATATTGTAGGTAATTAAATTCAAAATTATATTGATATACCAGAGGTTTTTTGCCTAATTTTTTTCTTCTGATTTTTTTCCTGATTTCTGCAATCACACATTCATAGTTGCCCCAATTCATTGATTATGAGCAGGGCATTGGCTTCGAAGAAGACTAATGGAACAGCAGTTAGTACACCTGCTGCATTCAATAGTTTCAGACACGACTTCTAATTGCAATCCCAATTCTGCAGTTTATCAAAAAAATCAGTCAGTTACCTTTTCCTGTCAATTCAGAGGGGTTTTTTACTTTCGTAGTCTACTACAACCCTTTCTGTACATGTTCAATGCATTCCACTTTCTTGACCCAATCTTTACCATATATCTTTCACATTAAAAACCCCTTACAATCCCCGTCCTCGTAATACCCGTGTACTTCAGCTTTCGTAATGTAATAGATCATTCAAACAGGAATAAGCACCAACTGCTTCCCTACCGAAGATGCTCTTTATAATTTGCGAACAATTATGTTACTCTTTACATATCGTGTGAAGAGCATGTTCTGTTATTTGGGCAAATGATGGGAAAAATGTGACAGCTTTCAATCAAGCACTTTGTCAACGCTAATCGACAAAGCAGCACCGATACATTCAACGTCGAATACACTCTGCGCCCAAACTAAATACAAATTAAAGGAAAAAAACTAACACCAGATTCTTAAATGTATTACATAATATCTAAACTTGTACGCAGGTTTATAATTTACAAATCTGATGATAAATAAAGTTCTAAATAGGCATATCTATTTAAATGCTCACTTCCGGCCCAGAATATTGGAACTTCCGGTTTATTCAGTTACAGAAAAATGCTTATAACTTCAGTTCTAATTAACCTATCAACAAGCAAAAACTTGTATTTGATAGCTAAAGATGTATTCTTTAAAATAATGTAATAAAGCTAAAGATAGTGGCAAAACTTTCAAGAACAGCGAACAACGAATGGAGAGAAGAAAAACAAAGTTCTGCGTCGCTTGTGCTCTGCAACGCCAATATTTCGCACATTTACTGAAAAGTGTCATTTCCAGACGATTCATAAAAATGTGTGCTCCAGGCAAAATGAAGAAAGAAAAGAGTTCATTGCGCAAGAAGTAAAGCAATACCGAAAAGAAACAGACTGTTATGTATCTCCTCTTAAAGATTAATATCACAGAAACGAGTTCTCATATGTCTCTCTGCATGGCACAGTATGAGAAACCACTTTCTGATTTGAGTTCCTGAAGATGGATTTCTTAGTACACTGGACAAATTATTCGAAGATTTTCCCAACAAACAACAAATAATTGTAGAATTAAAGAACTGCTTGCCAACAAGAACAAAACCAATGGAGATGCTTCAAAGCAAATGAAATCTGATTTAGATAACGTCGGAGATGTTTTCAGTATACTTTGATGAAAGCATTGATGTGATTCTAAGAGCAAGGTTAGTTGTTTTTGTTCGATTTGCTTGCGGAAATGTACAGAGAGAGGAATTAGTTCCATTTCTATGTTTTCCAACTATGACCACAGAAAAAAATATAATGAATGAAATAAAGCAAGAACTTGCAGTAAAAATGGGGTTTCACTTAAAGAAAGGTGTGCCTGTAACAACTGATGGTACCAGTACATAATGGGATTGTAAAATTTCTGGTTGAAGAAGTTCAATACCCCATTGTTCAATTTAATTGCATTTGGCATCAAGAAATATTGTGTGCAAAACTAGTATGAAGTCATTTCAAAATATTCTGTCTGTCATAACTAAATTCGCGAACTTCATATCTGAAAGTGCTCTAAATAATCTCCAGTTTTCGAAACTGTTACAGAAAGTAGAATCTTAATATAATGGACTTATGTACAATAACGTTCGCTGGATGAGTCGCGGGCAAGTTCTTCACGGATTTGTCGAGCTTTTGGATAAAATTCGATTTTTTTACTACAGAAAAGGTGCAAGAATTTCCAGAACTCATGAATTCTAACATGCTGTGTGATTTAATGTTTTTCAACGACTTAACAGCACTACATAATGATGTAAAAAGGAATTGCAAAGAGATTGTTTGAGATCATAAGATAAATTGATCCATAAGACAGTAAACCTGATTTATTCATTTAAGATATTGAAACAAAGAAGTTTAAATATTTCCCTTCGCTTAGAAGACATTTAGAACTAATGTCGAGTTTTGCCGATAAATTAGCTTCCAAGGGAGAGAAAATGTATTTAAGAGTTATTTAGATACTTTTGAAAATTCAAACAAAATAGTATTAGCACGATTTTCTTAATTTCGGAATTTGGAGAAAACATTGCAGTTTATTTCAAGGCTAAAATGGATGATCTTAAAGTGAAATTTTTTGAGAGCTTAGATAATGACGACCTTACTGTCGAGAGTTTTACCCTTTCCCAGATACTCGTTGAGATAGTACCACGACAATTCCACGAGATACAAAACATGACCTTTTTTCTAGTCAACTTGCGTTTTGCGATGCTGCCGTCGGGCTCACAGGGAACAGACCTGGGCCCGTCAATAGCTCAGTAAAACTCATAATTAAATAAATCATATTACACAAAAACTCAAAAATGGACTGTATACTAAAATTTATTAATTACTCAAAAAGCCCCATAGTTAGTTCACATCTCTCGGCGGCGTCTCAGAACACACTCAAAACTCAATACAAGTGGCCGCAAGGTGGCGCTATAAAACATCAGCGTCATGGTTTTAGAACACAAATATTACATATTTTTCACAGATGGCGCCTTTGGCGTCAACATCCAGCCCGGCCTTGAATGTTACATTCAACAATAAATTTAGAACACAAGTTATAAAATACAAACACAACACTCCAAGATAATAATAATGATGGTTATACAATTATACAAACTCAAACTTGATAATTAACTACAAATACAATTTAGGTAACTGAAACGTTTTCATTAACAAAAGGCAAAGGTACAATTTTTGTCATTGGCCTTTTATAGGTTCCATTTTCATCTTTAAGTGTCACAACTCGAATAATATTATCTTGACCTGGATGGGTTTTAATAATTCGTGCTAAATGCTACTTTAAAGGAGAGTAATTATCCGAATCTTTTACTAAAACTAAATCTCCTTCCTGCATTTCTACTTTCCTTATACATTTAGGTCTATTTAAAGTTTGTTTAAATATTCAGACGACCATTTTTCCAAAATTTTGATTTAGTTTGAACCATTTGCCAGCTAGTTATCCGATTTCTAGGAATCTCTGTAAAATAGGTTCAGGCAATGCAATTAAAGATGGAACCAATAAGAAAGTGAGCAGGTGTCAATGCCTCTACATCATTTGGATCATTTGATACGGGACAAAGAGGGCGAGAATTAAGTACGATTCAATTTGAACAATTAGAGTAAAAATTTCTTCACAAGTTAGAATGTTTTTCCCACCACACGTTTCAAGTGATATTTAAGGGATTTCACACTAGCTTCCCATAAACCTCCAAAGTGAGGAGTAGAGGGAGGATTAAAATGTCAATTTATGCCTTCAGTAACCAAATAACCATTGATTTCTTCTTCACTTTTATCCTTAAATAAAGATTTTAAAATCGCTCTTAATTCTCTATGAGCACCCACAAAATTTCTGCCATTATCACTGAAAATATCTGAGGGTTTACCTCGCCTGGCAATAAAGCATTTAAGTGCTGCTAATAAATGCTGCACTTGTTAAACCATTAACAATTTCAAAGTGCAAGGCCTTCGTAGTGAAACATACAAAAATACATACAAATACTTTTCTTACCTGTTTACTTCTACCTACAAAATGTTTTACCAGAAATGGACCACAGAAATCGAGTCCTGTTTTCGCAAAAACTCTTGATATGGTCACTCTCGCAACTGGTAAGTCAGCCATCTGTTGCTGCACAGACCTAGAATTTACCATTTTACAAATCATACAATTAAATATAATTTTCCTAATTAAATTTCTTGCAGAAACAATCCAAAATTTACTCCTTATAAGTGATAATAGGGTTGTTTCAGCACCTGCATGAAAATAAAGAACATGAAAATGATTAATCACAATTATAGTAAAATTATGTTTAGTTGGCAGAATCATAGGATGTTTTCTCATTTCACTTAAGTCACTGTTTTTCAGTCTGCCACCCACTCTGAGTACTCCCTCATGATCTAAAAATGGACACAAATTCAATAGTTTACTATATTAGGAATAGGAGAACCCTTTTAAGCACTGGATTTCTGTCACAAATGAAGTCCTTTGAACGTTTTTACAATACACAAACGCACTAGAAAGTTCATGGTGTGTCAAAGTTCCGCGTGTAGCATGCAATGGATGCCTGGTGTTATGCAAGAATCTCTTGCACCAAGCCACTACTCTTGCAATTTGTTATAAGATGAACAATTATTGATGACATCTAATGGCTCATAAGTGTTAATAAGTGCACATATTTCACTTACTGCTGGTGGTTTTAATTCGCGAAGATACAGTTCTTCGGACTCCTCAGGGATATCATCTTAGCACTTAGTCATCACAGGTTGAAGAAGAAATGGGGGACCACTCCACCACAGTTCACACAGTTGAAGTTTGACCGGATCAGCACCTTTTGATATGAGATCCGCAGGGTTCTGTTTAGATGGGACGTGATGCCACTGTCGCACCTTCGTCCTTTCTTGAACCACCGCAACTCGATTAGCAACAAACGTTTTCATACAACAGCGCTCCTTTTTCAGCCAAGCCAAAACTATCGAAGAGTCACTCCAGAAAAATACATTATTCACATTAAGTTTCAGAGCAGATATTACTCGAGCCATTAACTTCGCAAGCAATACAGCTGCGCATAACTCTAATCTTGGTATAGTAACTTGCTTTATAGGAGAAACTTTTGATTTACTTGTTACCAGCCTTATCACCACTTCACCATATTGGGAGATGGATTTACAATAAACTACAGCTCCATAAGCTAACTCGGAGGCATCACAAAATCCGTGTAACTCAATAACAATTGCTTCTGCGACAAGAATGCATCTGTTAATTTCTAATTTACATACTTGTGGTAGTTCAGAGAAAAACCGTTGCCATTCTTTGGCTTCTTTATCAGGTAGATGATCGTCCCAATTGGCTTCAAACCCATAGTCTCTGAAGAATATTTTAGCTTTAGCTATCACGGGACCCAATAAACCAAGTGGGTCAAAGATTCTCGCTATTGTTGACAAAACTTGCCTTTTAGTAATTTTAGACTCATTTTCTAGTTTCACTTTAAAATTAAAACAATCTATCTGCTTTCCAGGAAACACCAAGAGCTGACACTTCATCCGCGCACTGAAATGTGTATTCATCATCAACGTTAACTGCAAGCTCCGGATTGTTGCTACACCATTTGTGCAGAGTCATAGTTGCACTTTTTAAAATCTCAATTAATTCACGCTGTAGCTCTTTTGCCGAACTCAATGAACTGTACCCTGTTAGAACATCATGCATATAAAAATCACTCTGTAGCTGCTAATGGAAAATTTGTGAACTCATCTATAGCAAGCTGACGTAATGTTCTCATGGCTAAAAAAGGTGCACTTACTGTGCCATAGGTGACTGTGTTCAACTCAAAAGTTTTAACTGGACCATTAATTGACTCTTTCCACAAAATTCTCTGCAGCTGCCGTTGAGTAGGATGAATCGATATCATTCGGTACATTTTTTTGATATCCGCTGTAAAAGCATAAATATGTTTTCGGAAACGTACCATAATTGAAAACAAGTCCTCTTGAATTACACCACCATTATACTGAATTGAATTCAGTGAGTTACCTTTTGACGTTGAAGTTGAAGCATTGAACACTACTCTCAAAGGTGTCGAACTTTTCTCAGGGCGGTAAATGCCAAGGTGTGGAATATAATACCTACCCTCTTGCTCATCTTCATCTTTCACTTCAGTCATGTGACCTAGTTCACTGTATTCATGTAGAAAATCAGAGTACAATAATAAGTAATTTTCATCCTTACTTAAACGAGTTCAACCTCTTAAGCGCGATTTGTTCCGAATTCCCTAAACACATTGGATCTTCCTTAAACGGTATCTTGACTACATATTTTCCGGTTTTAGTCCTAGAATAGTTTTTGAGAAAATGCTGTTCACAAATTTCTGCTTCTTTACTCTTAGAAATATCAGACTCTCTTTCTACGTTTTTGATTTCCCAAAACTTTCTTACTGCTCTTTCTAACTCCAAATTATCTGTAATAACCCCACAATGTAATTTACTTTCCCCTTTAGCAGGAAGAGTCCCACTTACAACATAGCCGAAAACACTATTTTGTAATCTTAAATTTGAATCCTGAAGGGAAATTTGACCTGGTTTTAAAAGCTCATAGAAATGTTCTGCACCTATCAGAAATTCAATAGGGCCAGGCTCAAAAAACTTGTCATCTGCTAAATTGATATTATCTAAAGATGAAACATTAATTTCAAGAGGCCTAGAGGGCGTATATTCTGTTATTTTAGGAACCACCAAAAAATTTAAACTTAAATCGAAACTCTTGTCTCTATTTAAAATAGTTGCACTAACTCTAGATTTTATATTCAAAGACAAATTATTTATTCCTGAAACAGAAATGTTAGTCTTTTCTCCCTTTAATTGAAGCAAATCTGCTAAACTTTTGCTCATAAAATGTGAATTAGCACCGACATCTAACAAACCTTTAACCCTAAAAAAGTTACCCGATGCATCTTTAATTAAACAAACAAAGGTGCTGAGTAAGACAGCTTTTAATTCATTCGCGAGATTGCACGTTGTTGATAATAAATTTTGATCAGTACTCGTTTTAGCTTGCAGAGGTTCAAATGATGGCGCCGAAGCGTCCAAATTCGAAGGAATATTTTTATTTTCATGACTCACCACCTGCGCAACTATGTCTTTGTTTATTTTTTGTTCGCGAGGAAAATGGAGTGTCACGTGATGTTTCTTTTTGCAAATACCGCAAGAGAATTTATTGCTGCAATTAATCACTTTATAATTTCCTAAAACAGTTGAAACACAGCTGTTTCGATTTCACTAGCCCAACTCTATCGCTAACTGTCATGTTTTTATAAACAGGCATTTGGACAAAGGATGAATTTCATTGCATAATACAATACATTTCGAATTTTTTATGTCAGTTAGAAAAACCTTTGACATATTTTTAGGATAATTGTTTTTATTACTCAATCTAGAATTATCCACTACAGGTTTTCCCTTTGATGAATGATATAAATCTATCTCCTTCGCCAATTCTACAGGTTTAAACCAAGAATTTCCTTGCCTTACATTTATAAAACACATAACCTCTTTTATCAAGTGCTTGACATATTTTATCAGAAATCCATTGAATTGTTTTAATGTTTCAAAGTCATTTACCTTTCTCAGTTTCAAATAATAATCCCAACTCGTGGTTAATCTAGACGCGAACTGCACATAAGTTCCATTCGTCATTCGTTGTGTCTTCCTAAAATTTTCTAAACAAAATTTGGGGGGATGGTTCGAACTTCTATTAGCACTATTTCTTTAACCTTAGGAATAATCTCCTAATTCGTCGTCTTTAATGTATGTAATAACATTTGTGGCTTTATCTCCCAACAAATTTAGAAGAATTTCCGATTTAAATTTCTCTGGAACACTTTTTGAAATGAACGCCCTTTCTAACGATGAAAATAAACCCAACCTTCCGGTCTAATTGGAATTTTAGTTGTTAATGTGCGTATACTTTTAATAAGAGAGTCAAGAGATTCTACATTTTCTCTTTTCTCATATTCTATGAGGTTTTCACTCTTTGATTCTGCTCGCAACTTCGCTCGTTCTAGTTCCGATTTCGCTCGTTCCGTTTTCAATTTCTCAAGTTCGAGCAAAAGGCTCTCGTCACTTTTTCCTTTCATCGATAATATTATTAGCTATACCTTCAACTAATACAGGATCTTTCTTATAGCTTTCACTGTTTTTAATTATATCAGTTAAATCTGATATAGTTTTCGCTTCTGAAATGTCTAAATTCAGCTCTACAGCAATACGCTGATAATCTTCTTTTTTTGCACTTTTAAACATTTTGAATCTACTTTTTCAATTACACAGTTATTACAATTAAGGCCACGTACCTTCTATTTAAGAGTAATCCACAAGTTTTCTTCCATAACACTTATCTTCCGACTTTGACACACAATTCGAGCTCCGGATAGGTAAGGACCAATAATGGGCCCGTCAATAGCTCAGTAAAACTCATAATTAAATAAATCACTTTACACAAAAACTCAAAAATGGACTGTATACTAAAATTTATTAATTACTCAAAAAGCCGCATAGTTAGTTCGCATCTCTCGGCGGCGTCTCAGAACACACTCAAAACTCAATACAAGTGGCCGCAAGGTCGCTATAAAAACATCAGCGTCATGGTTTTAGAACACAAATATTACATATTTTTCACAGATGGCGCCTTTGGCGTCAACAAGACCAACCCCGCTTTCGGCTTGTGCTATTGCAGTAAGTACACTTTTCATCACAAGTGACGATCTGATCCAGAATTTGTCCTGTGTTGATATTCGAGCAGATCAGTTGCAGGCCCGAACACGAACGTGTATGTCAAGTTTTTTTGAGATGCATGGCGAGACTAATGGGTATATGGCACTAACGTCTTACTCCTTAGCAAGCTTTCGAGTGGCTGCATACTGATTTTCTTCCACAAGTTCTTGCAGGCGAACCTCATCAACATCAGTATGCCGGCCAGAGCTCTCTGCTTCTTGAATGTCATAGTCAATAATATTTGAACTATCGGCACCAAACCTCCACAGTGTTATTTGTTACAACATTAATAACTAAAGTCATACACATGATTTGGTGACATTCCGTAGCTGACGTTTTTCAACAGAACTGGAAGTAAATGATGTTTCTAATC